AATATGGGTGTGCAGGTGCCTTTGTAATAGCCTGAGTCACATTTCTTCGGGTATATCCCTAGGATTGGTATTGCTGGATCATATGGCAGGTCTATGTTTAGTTTTTTTAAGAAGCTTCCATATTGTTTTCCAGAGTGGTTGTACTAGCTTATATTCCCACCAGCAGTGTATGAGGGTTCGCTTTTCCCTGCATCCTCACTGACATCTGTTGTTGCTGGTGTTCTTGATGGTAGCAATTCTAACAGGGGTGAGGTGGAATCTTAAGTGTGGTTTTGATTTGCATTTCCTTTATGTCCAGGGATGGTGAGCATTTTTTCATGTGTTTTTTGGCCATTTGGTTTCTTCCTTTGAAAACGTTCTGTTTAGTTCAGTTGCCCACTTCTTTATTGGCTCATTGATTTTTGGGGAGTTTAGCTTTCTGAGCTCTCTGTATATTCTGGTTATCAGTCCCTTGTCTGATGCATAGCTAGCAAAGATTTTCTCCTATTTTGTGGGTGGTCTCTTCAATTTAGAAACAATTTCTTTTGGTGTGCAGAAGCTTTTTAATTTTATGTAGTTCCATTTGTCAATCCTTTCTCTTAGTTGCTGGGCCACTTGAGTTCTACTGATATAGATATAGTCCTTGCCTATATCTATTGCTTCCAGTGTATTTCCTGTACTAACCTCAAGATTTCAAGATTGACATTAAGATCCTTAGTCCACTTTGAGTTCATACTAGTACAGGGTGACAGGCATGGATCTAGTTTCAGTTTTCTGCAGGCAGATAACCACTTTCCTCAGCAACATTTGTTGAGGAGACTGTCTTTTCTCCATCGTATGTTTTTGGTGCCTTTGTCAAAAATAAGGTGGGCATAGCTGTGTGGTTTCACATCTGGGCCCTCTATTTTGTTCCACTGGTCTTCATGTCTGTTTTTGTGCCAGCACCATGCTGTTTTTATTGCTATGGCTCTGTAATATAGTTTGAAGTTGGGTATTGTGATACCTCCAGCTTTGATTTTTTTGCTCAGTATTTGCTCAGTATTGCCTTGGCTATTTGCGGTCTTCTGTGTTTCCAAATGAACTTTAGGGTCAAATTTGCAATCTCTGTGATGAAAGTCATTGGGATTTTGATTGGAATTCCATTGAACATGTAGATTGCTTTTGGTAGTATGGCTATTCTTACTATGTCTATTCTGCCAATCCGTGAACATGGGAGATCTTTCCACCTTCTGTAGTCTTCTTTGATTTCTTTCTTCAATGGTTTGTAGTTCTCCATGTAGAGGTTATTTATATCTTTGTTAAGTTTATTCCTAGATATATAATTTTTTTTGAGGCTATTATACATGGAATTGTTTTTCTACATTCTTTCACAATCTGTTCATTGTTGGTGTATAGAGAGGCTATTGATTTTTTTAAGTTGATTTTGTATCCTGTTACATTGCTGAAGCTATTTATGGTTTCTAGAATTTTTTGGTGGAGTTTTTTGAGTCTTTAAGGTATAAGATTATGTTATCTGTGAATAGGGATAGTTTGGCTATTTCTTTATCTCTTTATATTCCTTTTATTTCCTCTTCTTGCCTTATTGCTCTGGCTAGGAATTCCAGGACTATGTTGAATAGGAGTGAGGAGAGTGGGCACCCTTGTCTCCTTCCTGACTTTAGGGGAAATGGTTTCAGTTTTTCCCTATTAAGTTTGATGTTGGCTATAGGGTTGTCATATAGGCTAAAGGTTTTGCCTTTATAGTGTTGAGGTACATTCCTTCTGTTCCTAGTTTTCCTAGAGCTTTTATCATGGAATGGTGTTGAATCTTATCGAAGGCTTTTCTGGATCTATTGAGATTATCAAGTGGTTTTTGTCTTTGCCTCTATTAATGTGCTGTATTACATTTATTGATTTGCATATGTTGAACCATCCCTGCATCCCTGGGATGAAGTCAACTTGGTCATGGTGAATGATCTTTCTGATATGTTGTTGGATTTGGTTTGTCATTATTTTATTGAGGATTTGCATCAGTGTTCATTAAGGAGGTTGGCCTGTAGTTCTCCTTTTTGGGTGTGTCCTTGTCCAGTTTTGGGATGTGTGTAATACTGGCTTCATAGAATGAGTTAGGCAGTGTTCCTTCCCTTTATGTTTCATGGAAAAGTTTAAGGAGTGTTGGTATTAGTTCTTCTTTAAAGGTCTGGTAGAATTCAGCAGGGAATCTGTCAGGTCCTGGACTTTTCTTTTTTGGGAGACTCTTTATTGCTGCTTCAATTTCATTTCATGTTATAGATCTGTTTAGGTGGTTAATATCCTCTTGGTTCAGTTTTGGATGATCATAAATATCTAGAAATTTGTCCATTTCTTCAAGTTGTTCCAATTTATTGGAATACATACAGGTTCTCTCTTTTTTTTTTCAATTATAAACATATTTTAATTTGTGATTTGAATACACAACAAATCAGTATTTGCCATTTCTGTTCTGATGTCATCCTTGATCTTAAAAATATTACTATTTTGGCGGTGTGGGGCAGCACTGGGGCTTGAACTTGGGGGCTTCACACTTGTCAGGCTGGCATTGTTACCACATGATCCACTCTGCAAACATTTAGAATTTATATTATACCAGCTCAAAAAGTGAGTTTTAAGCCCAGATACAGGGTGACTAAGTGTTCCATGTCTGATAAGGAATCAATGGTAAGTCAATCATATGCACGACAAACTTGTGACACTAAGTGACCATGCCCATACAAGGGATTGACTCTCCTTATTTTCTTTCTACATTACATAACTGTGACCTGGTTCATGTCTTTCAAGGACACTCAACTGAAGGAGGCTTTCCCATATGGATAACATACATAGATTTTTGCCTCAGGGTGAGTTTGTGGAATACAGGTTCTCAAAGTAGTCCCTGATGATTCCCTGGATTTCCTTGGTGTTTGTTTCTGATTTTAGTAATTTGAGTTTTTCCCTCCTTGTTTTAGTCAGATTTGCCGGGGGTTTGTCAATCTTGTTTATTTTTTCAAAAAAACCCCAGCTTTTTGTTTCATTGGTTCTTTGTATGTTTTGTTTGTTTGTTTGTTTTCTATTTCTTTAATTTTGGCTCATATTTTTATTATTTCTCTCCTTCTGTTTGTTTTGGGTTTTGCTTGTTCTTGTTTTTCTAGGAGTTTGAGATGTAGCATTAGGTCATTTATTTGAGATCTTTATGTCCTTTTAATATATGCATTCATGGTCATTTATTTGAGATCTTTATGTCCTTTTAATATATGCATTCATGCCTTTGCTGTGTTCCATAGGTTCTGATAGGTTGTGTTCTCATTTTCATTAGCTTCTAGGAAACTTGATTTCCTCTCTTATTTCTTCTATGCTTTACTCATTGTTGAGCAATTTGTTATTCAACCTTCAACTGTTTGCTTATTTTCTGCTGTTCCTTTTGTTTCTGAGTTCTAGTTTTATTGCATTGTGAGCAGATAGAATGTGGAGGGGTTATTTCTATTTTCTTATATTTGTTGAGGCTTGCTTTGTGCTCTAAGATCTGATCTATTTTGGAGAAAGTTCCATGGGTTACTGAGAAGAATGTATATTGTGCTGTTACCAGATGTTAAGTCCCAACTCATACAGTTCTACCTCTTCCTATATTCCAGATAGGTTTCCACTACTACTACCATAAGTCTTCCTTTGAAGAAAAAAAAATCCACACAATTTCATCTGCTTATCTGCTACATAAGGTCTAAAAATTAGTTCAGTGGGCAGAATGACAGTGGTGCTTTTCAACAAAGAAAAGCGAGCAAAAGAGGTATTTCATCACGCTATACTGCTACAACTTTTGGTAGAGAGGGATGAGTGCTGGGGTTTGAACTCAGGGCTTTTCACTTGCTAGACAGGCACTCTACCACTGGGCCACTGCTCAGCCCTTTTAGTGTTAGCTGCTTTTGAGATAGGGTCTGGCTTTGTGCTAGGGCTGGCCTAGACTGTGATCCTCCTATTTGTGCCTTGCATCATTGCTAGGATGACAGGCATGCACCACTGTGCCTAGCCATTGGCTGAGATGAGGTCTCATGAATTTTTTTCCAGGGTTGGCCTCCAGTTATGATCTACTTATTTCTGCCTCCTGAGTAACTAGGATTACAGGCTTCAGCCACCATGCCAGCCTCAATCTAATTTCCATATTTGCTTTTATACTGTATTTCCACCCTCGGTGCTCTACTAGGTTTCACACAACAGTCCTCTGATCCAATACTCTGTGTGATGTCTGCTTAACCCTTGGGAATAACACATGGAAAGACGACTGGGCAGATGAGATGAGGAGTGTTACTTCTTCAAGCCTCATTTCCTCTCATCCACAATAAATATCTAAATTCTCAAGTATAAAATTTTATGTTTAGTCACTTCTAAACTGTTATGAGGGAAGATGGATAAAGACTTCAGATGCCTATTACACACAGTCTTCCAGGCAATCTCCCATCCAAGTACTAACTAGGACTGGCCCTGCTTAGCTTCCAAGATCAGGCGCATTTAGGGTGGTATGACTATCAGATACTAATAAAAACTTTTTAAAAAGAATAAATAATTAATCATATAATAGACTTGTGATGGTTTACTATATAGTAATAATAGGGCTTCTTCCAGAGACTCTTAAAAATAAGCGGACAATTTTAGAATACATAAATGTATACAGCTTGATGGAGAGATTGATGTACTATACAAGTACTCCATATTTTCTGTGAGAAGAAGGGCTCTGACATCTAAGGCAATTTAATTATTCTTTGGAATGGTGTGCTATTCCTTAAGGCTAGCATTTGCCACCTTTGAGTATTCATTGCATCTAATCAGATTTGAAAATGAAAAGTAGTAGAATTGTTCCAGAAACTATTACAATAAAATCAGTAACAAAACTTTTGGGGATAATTAAAATTTTATTCCCCTATTAACTTTTCTCATTGAAAATATTCATGAAGATTTATAAATGGAAAAGCCTGAGGAATCATGGAAATTCAAAAGCAAAAGGGAATTGTTTTTTGATATAAAAAATTGCTTACCTTTGTGGAATATAGAACATATGTTGAGGAGGTGGTTTATAGAGGACTCCTTCATACACAGGCCAGAGCCCACTTAAGATTCTGAAGAGAGAACTTTTCCCACAACCATTTGGACCAGTTATCAACAGATGCATTCCTTCTTGTACCTAAAGTCAGAAATAAAATTACAAACTGCAATATTTAAAAATTATTTCATTTGGCAGCATTTAAAATTTATTTATTATTTTTTAAAACATTCAATTACACAATAATCTTGGATGGGAAAGAAATCAAGGAAACGTATATCAGGGTTGAGAACTTCAAGTTTAGCTTTGACTCATCTCTGATGCTAAAGGCATCATAAAATAATTTAACTACAAAGAAAATGGTTCTTCTTGGAATAAACACTGGCTTTTCAATGTTTTAATTGAGGTCTTGTTATCAGATATAAAGAAATACAACCACATGGAAAATAAGAAAAAGCATACAATTTAAATGAAAATATATTAAATTTCATTTTATTTATATTAATTTTGATCAAATTTATATTGAATTCAAATGCAACTGAAAGTTTATTTCAGTTGTATAGCACACTTTATCTGAAGAGCCAGCTGGGTTACTTAATTTTGTACTCTAGCCATCTGGAATGCTATAGAAATCACAAAAGCCCATAATCAGAGAGAAAAGATGATTCTAATTCTGCTTTATTCACAGATGTAAAAAATACATTTACCAAAACAAGACAGAGGAAAGCAAGAGAACTGTAATTTAGTCTTATGTCCAGGATGAATCAAAACATGTACAGTTTGCCCTCCATATTCACAGGTTCCACGTCTGAGGAGTCAACAAACTGTGGATTAATAGTGTTTGAAAAAAAAATTACATCTGCACTGAATGTGTGCAGATTTTTTTCTGTACACCATTTTATGTAAGGGACTTGAGTGTTAATCGATTTTGTTATTTGCAATGCAACCTGGACTCAATCCCTTGATGATACTTATGGATAACTCAGTGTGTGTGTGTGTGTGTGTGTGTGTGTGTGTGTGTGTGTATAAAATACTCAAAAAATTAATCTTCTGTACCTATGTGAATATTCCATATAGAGTATTCACCAATAAAATAAATGCTGTTTATTCATTATCTATCGGATGTTTTCTTTTTATCTTATTAATGATTTAGATTTAAACAGTAAACTTCATGAGTTTCTATTCCACTCGATAGTATGGAGAAGTTGTTTTACTATACTATTTAAAGGATATTGTAAAGAATAAGGACTAGGGACATTATTTAAAATTTTGATTTGTTTTTCTTAAGAATAAATAATGTTTTATAATCAGTGTTGCAAAAAATGAATATCATATGAGAGTATCTGCAAGATATCAATACATATAGCTTTTTAATGAATGGAAAAAATCTCCAAGTATCAGTAATATAGAATATATGGCAATGAAAACTCAAAGATGAAGACCATTATATTGCTAACATCAATGAAAATCCTGGGAGAAACCTAGAAAAAACTACTTTTTGTGATTTTCTTGCTCTCTTTCCCTAGAGAAGATTAAGGAAGTTTAATTTTATAGAAGCATAAATACCTTCCAAATGGTTTTTTTTTAAGATACATACCACAGTGAGAAGTACATTCACAAAATAAGTCATTTCCTACTAGGAAGTCTAAACAATTTAAAGCTTTTTGATTGGTAATTAATGACTTTTCTACATTAATATTATGATTTTTAGCATAAATGCTCAGATGCTTAATATGAGTGTGAGGCATAACTTCTGTAAAAGGTATTTTTAATTTTGAAGTTCAACAAAGGAAGAAATATTCTGCTCTAGAAAACTATTTATTTTTCAATTGATAGAAAGCAATACAACTTTCTATCATATTTTATGGACCAAAGAATTAAAATGTAACTCCCTATCTGAGTTAGAAATCAATAATTATGAAAAAGTATATTATAATAATGTAGATATTTGTATGACTTCAAAATGTATAGAACTTTTAACTAGAATAAGCATTTTTAGTTCATTTTATATAAAAGAACCTGAGCTCTGAAGTTTTCCAAAGTAATGGTGAGATGGTCCCACAATAATAATTAGGAGGTAGCACAATTCAGGACTTGTACTCTATTTAATATATGGAGTGACTGGAACTGATATTATAAATACCTAATCTGACCAAAAGAAAAAAAGTACTAAATTATAATTTCCAGATACTTTAAAGTGACTAAGGCCAATAGGAGAAGGGGACCAGGAACTAGAGAAAAGGTTAGTTCAAGAAGAATTAACTTAGAAGGTAACACACATGTACAGGAAAGCAATGCAAGTCAACTCCCTGTATAGCTATCCTTATCTCAACTAGGTAAAACCCTTGGTCCTTCCTATTATTGCTTATACTCTCTCTTCAACAAAATTAGAGATAAGGGCAAAATAGTTTCTGCCTGGTAGCGAGGGGTTGGGGGGGGAAGGGAGGGGGTAGGGGAAGGGGGGAGAAATGACCCAAACACTGTATGCACATATGAATAAAATAAAATAAAATAAATTTCCAAAACTATTAAAAGAAAATTAAATAGTCTGTGTATGCCATGAGTACCTACTTGGTACTTACACCCAATTCTAATAATTAAATCTTCATATAGGCACATAAATGGAAAAATAAAGCCTGGCAAATCTAAAATACAGTGTGTCTTAAATTTATTAACATAGGATTTTCCCCTATTCAGTGCATCTCATCTTCTCCTTTCAAGTTCCAGTGACCTGACTCATTTGCAAACACATCTTTCATAATTAAACCTAGACTAAGGTCCATTCTAAAATCATCAGCATATGTTTTATGTTTGTAATTTGGTTATCATGTTTAATCATGTCTTTGAACTAAGCTCAAGTGCCATCACAACAGTCATTATTTTTTGCCATTTTGAACTTGAATTCCAAAACACATGTTTGAATTTTACAATGCTTTAAATCAGGGCCTCATGTTTATTAAATGTATTTACACCTTGGCTTTTGTAATCAAGACAAAGGATATTAAATAACAAATTATTCTAAACAGAAGTAAAAACTAAATTTGAATCTGTGACTCTTGTATTTTTCCTAATAGTAAATGTGATTATAGTAGACTTTTAAGTTAGAGAATGTGAATTAGCAGAATTAAGCTGGCCAATGATCTCTACCCTCATGTTTGAGCAAGTATATACAGTAGGGTATTCTTTTAGTAATTTCTATAAGGAAAAAATTAAAATTCATCTCCATATACTAATTTATGAGGAAATTTCCTGTTGTTCCTAAAGGTACCTTGTATAATCTCTCAGTACACTATAATGTTGATTTTCAACCTGGTAATAAAGCAGTAGAAATCAAATTTCTCTTTTCTCTCTGCGGAAGTTTAACTGCTTCTGTAATTGAGCCACTGTGCATACCTGTCTTGATTTCCCCTCCTTTTCACATGCTCCTCCAAGTATTTAACATAGGTACATGAATTCTGAGTTGTTTTGTATTAGTGTGATGGCAACAATCAGAAGATTCTTGAATATCATCTTACTTTGAAGTTTAGCCGGGAAGCCACCACTTCTCCCGCTGGTGTAATTATGGGAACATTTTCACAAATAATTCCATGATCCACATCAATAACCTTTCCTATAATTAAGAAATAATTTCAGTTACAAAAGCTATCATGGGTTACTGCTAATTAAATAAAATATAATATAGCATAATGGACAAACTCAAATATAAAAATATAAACTAGTAAGTTACAGTGAAGTAGAAATATATATGAAGCAATGTATAATGTGTGTTTGTATATTTTTGACACATCTATTTAGAAAAATCTTTCTGAGAAACATTATTTTGTAATAGTCCAATGTCAGCTTTGCTGTAACAGCACAGTTTAGTATAGTCTGCTATAACCCAGTATATACTTCACAACTACTCTGCTTCCCTAAATTAGTCTTTCCTACAAAAAAAAACCACATTACTTCAAAAAGAGAATTAAGAAACGAAATGATAGTAAGGTGGCAGGATACAAAATCAACCTACAAAAGTCATTAGCTTTTCTATACACCAACAGCAAACAAACTGAGAAGGAATATATGGAAACAATTCCACTCACAATAGCCTCAAAAAAATCAAATACCTAGGAGTAAATTTAACAAAGCATGTGAATGAACTTTATAAGGAGAAATACAAACTCCTGAAGAAAGAGATCAAGGAAGACTGCAGAAGATGGAAAGATCTCCCATGCTCATGGATTAGCAGAATCAACACAGTAAAAATGACTATACTACCGAAAGCAATCTACATGTTTAATGAAATTCCAATCAAAATCCCAATGACTTTCATCATAGAGATTGAAAAATCTACTCTAAAGTTCATTTGGAAACACAAGAGACCGCGAATAGCCATTGTAATACCCAGCAAAAAAAGCAATGCTGGAGGTATCATAATACCCAACTTCAAACTATATTACAAAGCAATAGCAATAAAAACAGCCTAGTACTGGCATAAAAACAGACATGAAGACCACTGGAACAGAATAGAAGATCCAGATATGAATCCACACAACTATACCTACCTCATTTTTGACAAAGGTGCCAAAAACATACTCTGGAGAAAAGACAGCTTCTTCAACAAATGTTGCTGGGAAAAGTGGTTACCTCTCTGCAAGAAACCGAAACTAGATTCATATCTATCGCCCTGTACTAGTATCAACTCAAAATGGATCAAGGATCTAAATATCAGACCTGAAGCTCTGAAGTTACTACAGGAAAGAGCGGGAATCACTCTGGAACTAATAGTTATAGGCAAGGACTTCCTCAATACAACCCCAGCAGCCCAGCAACTAAGAGAAAGGATGGACAAATAGGACTTCATAAAATTAAAAAGCTTCTGCACAACAAAAGAAATGGTCTCTAAACTGAAGAGACCACCCACAGAGTGGGAGAAAATATTCGCCAGCTATATATCAGACAAGGGACTGATAACCAGAATATACAGGGAACTTAAGAAACTAAATTCTCCTAAAATCAATGAACCAATTAAAAAATGGGCAACTGAACTAAATAGAACTTTCTCAAAAGAAGAAATTCAAATGGCAAAAAAAGCACATGAAAAAATGTTCACCATCCCTAGCCATAAAGGCAATGCAAATCAAAAGTACACTAAGATTCCACCTCCACCCTGTTAGAATAGCCATCATCAAAAACACCACCAACAACAGGTGTTGGCAAGGATGTGGGAAAAAAGGAACCCTCATACACTGCTGGTGGGTATGCAAACTATTGCAACCACTCTGGAAAAAAATTTGGAGATTTCTTAAAAATCTAAACATAGATTTGCCATATGATCCAGCAATCTCACTCCTGGGGATATACCCAAAGGAATGCAACACAGGTTATTCCAGAGTCACCTGCACACCCATGTTTATTGCAGCGCTATTCACAATAGCCAAGTTATGGAAACAGCCAAGATGCCCCACTACTGATGAATGGATTAAGAAAATGTGGTATTTAAACACAATGGAATTTTACTCAGCCATGAAGAAGAATGAAATCTTATCATTCACAAGTAAATGGATGGAACTGGAGAACATCATTCTGAGCGAGGTCAGTCAAGCTCAGAAGACCAAAAATTGTATGTTCTCCCTCATATGCGGACTTTAGATCTAGGGCAAATACAGCAATGTGGTTGGACTGGGATCACATGACAAGGGGAGAGCACATACGGGTTATATAGAAATAGGTAGAAAACTCAAAACACGAAAGCGTTTGATGTCCCCACTCCAGAGGAGCTAATACAGAAACCTTAAAGTGACAGAGGTTATCATGAGAAGGGGATCAGTAACCAGTGTAAAGATCAGTTAGAGATGAATCAATATGGGTCATAACACGTGTACACAAAAGCAATGCTAGGAATATTTCTGTATAGCTATCCTCAACTCAACTAGCAAAAACACTTTGTCTTCCTTATTATGCTTGTGTCTTTTCTTCAACAAAATTAGTGATAAAGGCAGAACAGGACCTGCCTGGAACTGAGGGGGGAAGGGGGGAGAGGGTGGGGGAGGGGGGCAGGGAGGAGAAATGACCCAAACAATGTATGCACATGTGAATAAATGAATAAAAAAAAGAAATGAAATGACATATTTTAATACATGATGATCAAGTTTAGAAATACAGGATAATGAAAAGCAACATGGCATTAGCTTTAATTATATTTGTTGGTTGAATTTTAAAAGCAAACAATTAGTCATATATGCTGTTTTCAAATATAATTCTGAAAATTTTTCCTTAAATAAAAGTAGGGGGCTTAGGGCCTGGCTCAAGTAGTACAGCACCTACCTAGCAAGCTCAAGGCCCTGAGTTCAAACCCCAGTACCATCAAGAAAAAAAAATAGCATACCATTTTTTATGGTAGTTAACAGTCCTTAAAATGTAATACTAAGTTAAGAGACTGCTACTTAAATAATTTTGGTTATTTAAATATTGGTTCTTAATAGCTATTAATAGCTGTCAAAAACTTTGGTTCTGTTGATAAAATAACACTTAAATATAAGAAAAATGTAAAAACAATTGGTTGAATACCTTTAATTTCCAGTGCATCACTGAAGGGTAATTCTATGTTAGCTCCATTCTTGCTTTGGATTTCAGGCTCTTGAACAGCAGCATTTCTTTTATAAATACCTCTTTTTACTTCATCAAACACCCAAAACATATTGTACACTCGAGCAGTATAGCCTGCTAATTCAGTGACCTAAAGTCAATATAGAGAAATAAAATAAATATACCCATGATAGACTTCCAAATAAGTAGGGAATCATATAGGCTTCTTGATTTAATGTTAAAGATTCTATTTTATTATCCATGAGAAATAGATAATATATGAAATAACCAATACAAATGACAGTAAAAAGCTTACCAACAGGGTAATACAGGAAAACATTAATGTAAATTTGGATTTATGGAATCATAAAGCACATAGAAAAACAATTCATTCAAGTCAGGATTCAAAATGAAATGAGAGCCTTAAGATCATTTAGTCAAGTTTCTGATTGGTCCACGAATCATATGACAAATTTCATTTCCAGAAAATTAGAAAGTTTGTTAAAAAAAATCAGTAAAATGATGATCCTTTACTTTTGGTGTCTTTTTTTCTATTGAAAATGGAAGATTTTAAATAGGAGAGAAGTACTTTTCTTCTTACTATGAAATAAATATTTCTGAGACAAACTGTTTGTCAAAATTCCAGTTTGGCCAGAGAAATATCTGTGCTAGAGGATCGCAATTTTGAAAGTGAGCTCAGAGAAAAGCTTCAAATCCTTTTCAGCACAAAACCCACAATCCAGTTTCTTTTCAAGCCAGACATGACTTAAATACCAATGAAAAACATTAAATATTGGATTTTGTAGATAAGATTATAAAATAAAATGATATAAATATCTGCTATGGTACACAAGGCTCAGTTGAAAGATGCCATACTCCTGTTCTGCCAACTGTCCAATTTGTGTTAACCTCCTGCTGTTTTTCCATTAAGAAAATACCTTGTTATAAGGGTACTGGAAAAGTAACTTATGTCCTATTTGTACCATTTGTCTTAGTGAAAAAGGAATGTACAAAAACTGGGAAGTTGATACCAATAAACAATGCATGTCCTAAGCAATAACATGTGGAATAATACAATACTGACATTTGTGTAAGATTTTTGTGTGTGCAAAAATCAAGCCATAAAGGGGTAGGTGTTGTTGTTAAAAGCCTTCTAATGAGTGAGAAGTGTGTAATTACACTAGCATTTCATTGCTGTATGTTAATGTTATGGTTATTTAAAAGATTATTTCTAAAATGTTTTACTTTTTATTTTTATTATTCATTTATTCAAATGTGTGTATATTATTTGAGTCATTTCTCCCCACTGTCCCCTCCCTCACCCTCTCCCCCCTCTAAAATGTTATCTGGAAGAAATTCTTGAGTTCCCAAGTAGAGATTAGGAAAGCTAAGGTTTAACAAAATATGGATTCATAAGAAACCTGGATAAAAATATTTTCCTAAGAAAAAATGTACAAAACCAATATTCTAGAAGAAGGGTAGAAAGTAGACTTGTATAGAAGTGGAATGGACAGAGGATGTCTATAAAAAAATAAGAATATGCCCGTGAACAAATTATTTTAGGATTTATCATAGAACCTTCACTAAAAAAAGGAACTTTGGTTCCTTTGGAGCTACCTGAGAAGGCATGGTGACTCTTGTGCTGCCACAGTAGTACATAATGTTTAATAAATGAAAATTCTATGACTTAAAGCAAGTACAGGCAAAATGAAGCATAATCCAGACTGCTAGTTGGACATAATGTAGAAAGGCTAAATGATGTCCTTTCTGTGACTTAGAATGCTTTAATGTGAGATGAATAAATATTTTGTCATTCAATATTAATATTAGTTATATTGTGGCTTAATATTAAAATAATATATACCAGAAGCATCTATCCCAAAGACTAGGTTACTGTATTATTGAGATTACTATTTGAAACTTGTAAAAAAATTGAATTGTTTTGTTATGTGGTACTGAACCACTGGTTTTATTTTTTTTTTAAATCCAATTCAATAAATCAGTTCTAGGGACTGGAGATGTGGCTCAAGTGCTTGCTAGGCAAGCCCTGGGTCCTAAGGTCAAACCCCAGTACTGCAAAAGAAAAAACAAAAAGACAAAAAACCAAAACAGATCTGTGAGATAATCATGAAGTGTATACTATTATATAGTATATTCAAGGTCAATTTAGAAGAAGCTAAATTTATAATGATGCTTGAATAATTTATATTGTTATGAAAACCACAATAGTAATTAATAGTGAGAATAACTGTTTACACAATACCTGAATTAAATGAAGAGATTTTAATCACTTTATACAGATACCTGTGGTATCTGTAGATCTATTACCATACTTTCAACAGATGACCTATAATCTTCCAAGCATTAAAATGGACATTAAGAATGTAAAGCTGGGTAAGGTAGTTCTGGCTTTCAAGGAGCTTGAGTTCTGGTGCAGGACATAGACAAGTGCAACATAAAGCATTAGTCGAACACTTAGATAAAGACAGAGAAGAAAGACCCAAACTCTGCAGGGAAGGCAGGAACAAAAAGAAGAAGGTTTTATATGTGGTTCGTGAAACTTCCTCAATCAAGAAAGGGTAAAGTTTACAAGATACATAAGTAATATTACTAACTACCATTTATTGGGTGCTTAAAATGTATTGTCATAGGTATTCTACATGCACTAAACTTGCAACAGTCCTACAAAGTCATTACTATCATTCCCCTATCTCACAGATGAGGAAACAAAGATACTGACAGGTTAAGGAACTTTACTAAGTTCACGTAATTTGTAAATGATGAAAAAAGGATACAAATTTAGGCACTGGTTCCATAGTCTATACCTGAGGGATTTTTTTAAAGTTTAAAAACAACTATAGACAGAAAAAGAGGAATAACAAAACAGATGGCATTAACAGCAATGCAACTGAAGTTGTGGCTCTCAATCTTGATTATACACATAGCAGTTTTGGATAGAGGAAAAAGCTATACTTCTAAAACATTACATATATGTGGTAATTTACATTTTGATTTTTATATGTGTTATATTATTTTAATCAAATTGACAAGAAATGCAAGTACCTCTTTGTATGAAGACATAATCCTTTCAATAGCATCAGCTCCAGAGGCCAATAAATTTCGAGCAGTAGTAAAGGCTTCTGTCCGATCACTAACCATGGCTTGTTTCTGGCCATCCTCTTGATCTAAAAGCAAATTATAAAACTATTCAGTTTTTCCAAGTAACTAACTGTCTTATTTTATACAGACTAAATTATGGTGAAAAGAACCAAAATATTTCATTAGTATCAGCAACTTCCTAGAACCATAATGTTACTAAAAGTATAGCATTTGTATCAGATTTTATTTGGTACAAATTATTTGGTACCGATTATTAAAAATAATATGTTTTTTATTATTTTTTCAAAGGGAGAGTTAGGACACCCAAGTCTATAGGAATTAAGAATACTTTTATTTAGCTTTCTTTTAGTTTCCCATATTCTAGTCTCTGTCATTATAATAGCTAAACAATAAAATGCTAGTGATTTGATCAATAAATACTACTAACTTGAATACAGCAAACACTATGGTATGGTTCCTTTAACAGAAATACATACTAAGGGGCCCTAAATTGAGACTCTTTCTACCTTTCTCAAGCATCCTTCATTCTATGGTTCAGCTGTATCCCAAATGTGCTGTTTTCAATCCTCTGGTATTGGCATGTCTGATTTTTTCCAACTTTAATGCACTTTCTTTCTTTTTTACGTAGCTCTTTCTCCTCAAGAGTTAACTCTTTATTACAGATTTTCCTAAAAATACTTGTCTGTCTCTTCCACTGGGTTGTAATTTCCTTGACGGTCTAAATTGCTTTCTTCTTTATTCCTAGTATATAGCACGTAGTATGCCGTAAGGGATGGATGAGTGGATGGACCAATGTAGGATGAACATTCTACATTATTGTCAATGAAGAAGTACGGTTAAGAGTCAGAAGTCAGACTAAGACTTAAATTCAGGTCCTGCTTATGGGAAAGTAGCAAATTAAGTAGGGTAAGACACTTATCATTTCCACTCCTATTTATTTATCTGTAAAATGAGAGAAATACTAGTACATCTCAAACAACCTTATCTTTTGGGTTAAAAGCAGAAAAATTATGACATGTCAGTCAAATGTGTGGCCCACAGTAAGTGTTCTACTGTTAGCAGTTAATTGCTATTACTAATGACCTATTCAGTTTTAGTTTTGTTCTTCAAAACTATTATCTCTACATTGTTCTTCAGTCTTTCCATTAATTTGATTCTCTATTTGTTCCTACTATAAGATTATCTTCCAAATTCCATATTACATACTATAAATTAATGAAAAATTATTAACAATGTTAGATAGCTATAGGCCCATTTATTTCCCTCAGCGGATCATCCCCCATAGCATATGTATGAAAGTTGTACCTTGTTATGAGTATGAGATATTTTTACCTTTAATTCCTTATAGACAGTTCAGCTGATTTTGAAATGGATCCCACACATAATAGAAAGCAAAATTCACACAGACCGTATTTATGGGACACCTAGATTTTCAAGAAGTTAGGCAAGATACTGTGGTACATATGCAGATAAGTATGATTTTCAGACTTTTTCCTTAAAGAGTTTATGACTTGACAGGAAAAAGAAGACAAATTTTTAAACAAATTATACAGAGTGACCTATGATGGGAGTTAGTGTCCGGTGTTTGGAGTAGGCAAAAATGATGCTGCAAGAGATAGAATACTTTGTGGACTTTGAGGAGGCATATATTTTTTTTTTTTTTTTTGTGGACTGGAGTTTAAACTCATGGCTTCATGTTGCAAAGCAGGCACTCTACCACTTGAGCCATGCCTCCAGTCCATTTTACTCTGCTTACTTTAGAGATAGGGTCTTGTAAACTATTTGCCAAGGCTGGCCTTGGACCTTGATCCTCCTGATCTCAGCTTCCCAAGTATCTAGGGTTATAGGTGTGAACTCTCAGTGTCTGGGTGAGAGCATAAAATTTTAATAGATCACAAGTACAGCATAAGCAATGGCTCAGAGAAGGGAAATTTCAAGTAATGCCAATTGAATGACAAATAGTCTAGTCAGGCTAGAGAAATTTATTTCACTGAGTATCATAATTATCATGAATTAGTGGGAACTTTGCCAAAGTACAATGTAGCCCCTCCTCCCACTACTCTTAATCAGCACTCTAGAGAACCATTAGTTCTCTTGAAGTTAGTTTTCTTGGAGAAAGAAAAGATAAAGATACACTGGTATAAGTGAGGAGTAAAAGATGTTATTAGAAAAATAGGGCTTGAGATGTGGCTCAAGTGGTAGAGCACTTGCCTAGAAAGCATGAGGTCTTGAATTCAAACCCAAGTATGAAGAAAGAAAGGAGAGGAGGAGGAGGGAGGGAAGGGGGTGAGAGAAAGAGAGAGAGAGAGAGAGAGAGAGAGAAGAAGAAGAAGAAGAAGAAGAAGAAGAAGAAGAAGAAGAAGCAGAAGGAGGAGGAGGAGGAAGAGGAGGAGGAGGAGGAGGAGGGAAGGAAGGAAGGAAGGAAAACACATCAGCTAAAAATATATATTGCAAAAAAGTCTCTTTAACAAGTAGTGCTAGGTAAACTAGATGGGTACCTATCTCTCATCCTGTACACAAGTCAACTCAAAATGGATCAAAGACCATAATACAAGAACTGAAACATTGAAACTACTAGAGGAAAACATAGGCGAAACATGTCAAGATTCAGGCATAGGCAATGGTTTTCTGAACTCTAATAGCTCAGGAAATAAGAGCATAAATTGACAAATTGAAATCTATGAAATGAAAAAGCTCTGTACAGCAAAAGAAACAATCAACAAAGTGATGGACACAGCTTACAGAATTGGAAAAAATCCTTTGTCAGATATTTATTCAACAAGGGATTAATATCTAGAATATATAAATAACTAAAAAAATTAAACACTAAAAGAACCAATAATCAAATCAATAAATGGGCAAATAAAGTGAACAGACATTTTTCATATAAAGTAGTACAAATGACTAATAAATACATTAAAAATGATCAACATCCTTTTCCATCAGGGAAATGCAAATCAAAACTATACTGAAATTCTCTGTCACCATCCCCCCCATCAGAATGGTTTCCATAAAAAAAAAAAAAAAAAAAAAAACACATGCTGGTGAGAATATGGTGGGGGGGAAGAAACTCTTATTCACTGCTGTTGTGAATGTAAATTAGTGAAGCTACTATGGAAATCAGTGTGGAGGCTCCTTATAAAAATAAAAGTAGATCTACCATATACCCTAATTGGATATATAACCAAAAGAATCAAAGGCAGCTTATTGTAGAGATACCTGTATACCCATGTTAATCACAGCACTATTCACAATAACCAAATAATGAAATCAGGCATGTGGTACATATATACACAGTGGAGTTTTACTCAGACATGAATGGAACTGGAGATCATCATGTTAAATGAAATAAGCCTGTCCCACAAAGATAAGTATTATATGTTTTCTATCATTTGTGAAAGTTAGGGGAAAACATAAACAAGGTCATGACAACACGATCAAAATACAATACATGAATGTATGGAAATGAAATAATGAAAGCTTTTACTATGTGCAATTAATATGCACCAATAAAAAGAAAGAAAAATAGAGTGCAGAGAAAATGCAGTGTTTGTCTTTTTAACAATAAGGTCTTGTTATGTAGCACAGACTGGCCTCAAACTTGTGATTTGCCAGTCTCATCTGGGTTTACAGGTATGCATCACCACACCTAGCTCTATATGGTCTTAGAAATATATCTATATGTATGATAAAATTTAAATATGCATATATACACAAACAAAAACTATTAGGGGATTCTCAGCAAAGTACCAAAATAGTGAATTGCTACCAGTTAAAGCACTAAGAAAACTGCTATCCCATTTATTACGGTGTTTGAGTTAAGGCAGTAAAATAAATGATTTTTTCTAAAAAAAAAAAAAGTTTTGGCTTACAGAGAATCTGGCCAATGACCTAAAATAATTATGGGTTTTTATGGATTTGGGTTAAAAGGCATTTGTATAGTAGCTTTCACTGACAACTGCTGTAAAGAAAAAGAAATATTTGTACAGATGGTGGTTAATTTGGAGCGGTCATTTTCATGTTGCTTTGGTAGACTAATGCCTGTTAGGTTTTCTTCATGCTTTTAGCAATAAACAAATAGGAAACCTACAGATTTCATGTGAATTTTATTCTACTGGTTGTCCTTTGGAAGGTATTGTGAGAGCAGTGTCAGTAATATTTTGTCACACATATAATAGTCACTTTCCAGACAGTTCCCTAGTGTCAGAGATGTAAAAATATAGGCTGGGCATGGTGGCACATGCCTATAGCCCCAGCACTGAGGAGGTGGAGACAGGAGCATCATGATGGGGGAGGGGGAGAGAGAGAGAGAGAGAGAGAGACTGACTGACTGACTGAGCAAAACAGAGACAGAGAAACGGGCCTATTTTGTATCCTTTGTCAACACATTTTATTTTCCTTGCCAAATATTTTGTAGAAAATTCTGCATTAAAAAAATTCAATATTTAAGATCTGGGGGTGTAGTGAGCTAGGCAGTGTCTGCCTAGCAAGCACAAGGCCATGAGTTAAAACTACTAACAACAAACACACAGAAAAAGGATCCAACATTTAGTATTATACCTGTTTGTTTTACTGCTATTTCTGAATTTTGAGTGTGGTAAGAACTGAAAATTGGTAACAGCTCTTGCTATTTTACTAAAAAGGAAAGAAAGGATTTTAAAGCTCAGGTTATATAATAATACATTTATCAAGACTCCTAGAACTGTACAAAATAAAGAATGAATTCTAATGTAAATTATGGGTTTTAGCTAATACTATAACAATATACATGTTGGTTTACCAGATGTATGATGTAAATAATAGGGGAAACTGCTGGAGAAATAGGGTATTTGAGAATTCTATACTTTCTGATGAATTTTTTCATAAACCTAAAGCAGTACTAAAAATATATTAATTTTTTATAATAAAGAAGTAGCTTTGATCCTCTCTACATTTTTTATTTATAATCTCAGTTTATTTCTCTTTGTTGACCTTTCATCTTTGTCATCTTGACAAATCTCAGCAAAAACTTATGTCCTTGATTTATCTCATACCATATACAAACATCAGTTCTAAGTGG